CTGCCAAACTGATTTAAAAAAAAAAAATCAAAAGAGCTAAATTAAAATAGTAGATGCATTTGGAACAATGGTTAATATAAATAATAGGATAAAATCAGAGTTCTTTACTCTTTCTGCATAGGCTCTAATTAGAACGATATTTTGCGATTCATCCTGCGTATGTCAAACCCTGTAGAGTCAGATGTATAGGTGGTCTCAATTTGCACTAAAGCTCCCTAAATGCTTCTCCAGTGGTGCCCATGGCTAGTTCACAAGGCTACCATTCGTGCAGGAGCTGCTTTCACGAAGAAAAGGAGGGAAACAATTAGTGTCCACGTCAGGATACTGGAATTACTACAGCCTGGTTCTCTTTGATCATGAAAGACTGCTTTATCAGCAAGTAAAAGAGTAACTCCCTGTCTCTAACAACAGAAAACCACTTTCAAATCTTAGTGCTGACTTTGAGAAGCACTTAGAGTGAGAATAAAAAGCAACAGCAAATGATCCAGTTTCATCTCAAATACTGGAAGTGATGAAGGCATAATCTTCCGGCCATTTCCCACGTGTGCATTCCCCACTCTTCTCAGCCACAAATCTCACCGAAAAGTATGTGGTATATTTCTGAAGGAGTCACGTTATAATTGAGTGTATCATTCTTGCCTGAGCATTTGACATCTGGGGAGAGGGCTTAAAAATAAGCAATAAAGGCAGAGTTGTAACAACCGCAAGCTTCTCTAATAATAAATTAGAACATTCATTATACTCCAAATCTAAAATCAAAGCAAACATCCATTGTACAATTACTGTATAAAGGGGCATCACTGCAGTACACAGTTACTATATCAGGCCAAAAGCTTGCTATTTATATTTCTAACCTTGCAATTCTTACGCAGATTTCCCCCTTCAGTTACTTTTTCTCTTTCACTTGAGTAGTTTTCTGAGTGCAGATGATCTGCATTAGATCGAACGAAGCCAAGCACAAGCAATACATGATTATCCATCACTGTTCCTGACAGTCTGCCCACTTCCTACTGCACTGTAAAACAACAGAAAAAATGCAGGATTTGTAACATGAATTTTTGGATGGAACGAGTGAATGCCCCTCAGAATTACTGAGGCAGCCCAGTCTCCTATGGTGGGTTGGGAGAGAGGGGACATGGGGCAGTTCCTAAGCACTGGATCAAGTCAGGAAGGGTAGGGCTTCATGACTTCACACGCCGACACATTTCCACTAAGAACACGAATCACTGCTCATCATTTGTGAAACAGTTACTCCATGCGGTAGACAGTGCCATACCCATCCCTGGAACCCTTCAGAAAACCCCCAAAGATAGGCCTTAGGGTTTCTTAATTGAGAGATGAGACAAACGAGGCTCAAGACAGTCAACTTGCCAAGGTCATCCAGCCAACAGGCAGCTGGGGCGGGACTGAAGTCTGGCCTGTCTCAGAATCCGTGGAGCTCCAGATCTGCATCCACCAGGCATCACCCAGCACAGTGCCGGAGGCCTCGGCGGAAGCAGCGGAGGCGGGAGCCTATGGAGGAGGGTTTCAACCCAGGTTGCCAACCTGCTCGCTGCATGGCCTTAGGGAATTCCATGGCACTTGCTCTCCGTGCCTGGGTCTCCCACTGAATTGCCTGCCATGCCTTTTCCCACACAGACTGTGGATGAGGGGCCAAAGCCCTAGGCATAGCACCTTCCAGACAAGATCATTCGAGAAGCCGCTAGTATGTCAGTAGCCACGGACGGTCTGTCCTACTCAGTGCTGCCCAGGGCTGCTGCTAGGCAGAACATGCACACGCCCTTTATAACTCCTGTAAATTGGGCTTTGAGTTGGGCCTCGAATTACGTCGCTGTTTCTTAATATGAGCACAGGAACGTCTACCCTTCTGGCATGGAAAAATAAAAATTGATATAATGCAAGTAACGTATTTTTAGAAACAACGTCTTTTCAAAACAATTTCACTCTTGTGAATTAAAAGACATGAGCCTTCTAGGCAGCATCCTTTATTCTTAAAACCAGAGATGACGAAATCTGTATGAATAGTCACATGTCATGTCTGGTAGACTTAGGTTCAAGTATACATACTGATGTGAAAAGGAAGAGACAGGTTCCAGAATATTTAAGAGTCTTTGACGGGACATACTTCTACAGACTCCTGTGTTTGAAAGAATGTGGCCTAATGTGGACCATCCAATATCTAACCCCCTGCGACATCATTCTTTGGTCAGTTTTTTGTTTTTTTCTTTTTTTGGGATGGAGTTTTGCTCTTGTTGCCCAGGCTGGAGTGCAATGGTGCGATCTCGGCTGACCGCAACCTCCGCCTCCTGGGTTCAAGCAATTCTCCTGCCTCAGCCTCCCAAGTAGTTGGGAGTACAGGTGTGCACCACCACGCCCAGCTAAATTTTTTTTGTATTTTTAGTAGAGACGGGGTTTCACCATGTTGACCAGTATGGTCTCGATCTCTTGGCCTTGTGATCCACCCGCCTCGGCCTCCCAAAGTGCTGGGATTACAGGCGTGAGCCACCACGCCCGGCCCTCTTTGGTCAGATTTAAACACCACCACCTACAGGCACAGCTTTCCCGCCCTAAGCATTACCCTTCTGCAGCTCTGTCTAGACCAGCTTTCTTCTGCAGCTTGTGCTTTAAATGAAAAACTGCCAGGTTTTCAATTAGTCTCTGAATGTGACGCTGCAGGTTCATAAATGGTGGATCACATTCTGTAAGGGTATCTTTACAAAAGCACATTACAGGGTGTTAGGAAGGGAGACATATTTGAAGATGTATTACAGTTATGAAGTTCTGCAGTGAGGCCATCTAGTTAACTAAATCATCATATCAATTAAGAAATCAGTTTAAAAAGCACCCCCTTCCCCAAATCCCTTTCCAGGTATTAAGCACACAATTCAGATTTGCTCACAGAGGACACACACTGAAGGACTTGCAGAGACTGGCAGAGATCATCAACTTCATAAATGGGTCACCAGCAGAGGATGCCTCAGAGAAGGGGAGGATGCTGAGAAGCCACTAACCCTCCTGAGGAATACAACACTGAAATAGACTAAGGGTTTGGATGCAAAAAGATACTTCATGACTTATGAAGTATCTGTTTCATGGGTCATGAAGTATCTATTCTTATATCTTTCTCCAGCTTCCCAAACTTCCTGATTTCTTCAAAGGAAGAGGAAACCATACAGAAGTATTTTTAAAATCCACAGAAGTCAAAGCATGTGGCCTTTTTATTATGCTGTCTGAAATGTTCCTCTTTCAAAGATGTTAAGGACTGCAAAATCTGCAGCATTTAAATTTTCCCTCTTCCTCCATGCTTTAAACAAAATCGAATTTTACAGTCTAGCTATGTATTATCAACCAACGGCTACATGGTGTGCCCCCTGAGAATGTTTGTCAGGAGTTTTTAAAATAATTTTTAAAATTTCCATTTAAGATATATAAATGAACAGATGATAGACATACACATTATGCATGTGATATATAAATTTCAATACTTAATTCTGACCCTAAAGAGTTGAAAAATGTTTTTTACAAAAAACATTTTAATAGAAACATCCGGGGAAAAACCAGTATTTTTCATATATTGTTAATCTTACTTTTGGTAAATAAAAAGTGCTCAGTTATTTTGCTGGAATATTATTCTTTTGACTAGCTGAGCCACCAAGCAGCCACACAGGCTGCAGTTCAATGTTCACGTCCAAGGCCAGTTCAACGGGGTGAGTGAACAGTATGCACAGAGGAGTGTGTTAGGTGCTTTCAAGCCAGGCGTGAGCCAGACAGAGCCCTTCACCTGGAGAGTATGGCTCAGGTATGATGAGCCGGGCAGCCCAGGAGAAGGTGGCGTGGAGTGACCTGCTGGAGCGCAAAGGTGGCTTGGGTTGCAGAAGGAAGCAAAGCCATCTGACTGAGAGGTGGGGGAGAGGCATTCAGAAATTAATCTTGAGGGGCAGGTGGGAATCCTTCCAGGAGGTCTTACAGGTGGGAGCAGGGAGCTGAGGCTGTGGGTGAGGGAAAGTGGTGATGAGTGGGGGTGGGTCACAGAATTGGGCGTCTGTGAAGTGCAATGGACCTGTAGGGCTGAGGCACGGCAAACATTCAGAGAGGCTTCTGGAGCCACAGTGACAGGCTTTAATGACAGCGTGACGAGTTTGTTGGAAACGGAGGGATTTTAATCAAGAGAATGTCACAATCTGAGCTGAGCTTTGGTACTGAGTTTCCTTACATAGCACAACCTGTCCCCATCATCAGTGATCCCAAGGATTCTGGCCTGCTTGGAAATGGGATGGGAAGAAAATGAGTCAAAATTTCTGAACCTCCATTGCTCAACCTTAGAATAATTCTAGAAAACACAGTATGCTGTGGAGAACTGGTGACAGGCAAACTCGTTCTAAGTTTCAAAATGGGAAAGAAGATGGAGACGCTATAAATACCTATCTCAGGAAAAAATATAGACAGTTTTAAAAAGATGCTGTATGTGTATGTAAATGCAGGTCACGTGTGGCTAATGCGTTTCATAACTGGGCAGTACTACAAAGCAGACAGGTCAGGGCAGCAGCCTCAGCCGACGCTGTGCCCGGACACGGTGCATGTGGCAAGCTTCTCCTGATTCAACTGCACCTTAAAAGGAAGCGTGCAGGCTAGCGGATAGGATGTCATGGGTTTGTGACACGTTAAACAAAGCACCGCAATAAGGGGTGGATTTCTCAGCAGGTGAGAATTCAAATGGTGCTAAAACACAGAACTCAGCCTCATTCCACATCCTCTTGCTGGTTCAGTAAACAGCAACAGAGAGCACACGGGGAAATGCTGGTGCAGAACTGTGTCTGTGCTGACGACATATCCCATCTGAGTGGACCTGAGTAAGCTGGAAGGAAGTGCTGAGAATAGCGTGAACTGCAAAAGGAAGACATGACAAGGACTTAGATCCCAAAGCCCAGTGATGCAAGTGTAGAGTCCAGTGGACAGGAGAGGGCAGGCTTCCCCGAGTTTCCAGTCTTCCTGGCCCCTTGCTCACGTCTGGCTGCCCTTGCAGAGGTTGTCAGAAGGAGCAGAGTTGTCAGACGGTCCTGAGAGGAGGAGAATCAGCTGTCTGCAAGCCCAGGGCCGGCACGCAGAGGAGAAACAGTCTTGTGTGGTGGAAAAGCGCCAGGTAAAGGTGAGGGAGGGGTGCCGACACTGGTATTCACAGCCGCGATTTTTTATGACAGTTTACAGAAAAATTGTTAAAACCGTCAAAAAAAAAAAAAAAATGGAGCACATTGCCTCTGGTGGTGGCAAGTTCCCTGTCATCTAAGTGTTCAGTTGACTTCAGGTCCCTGCCAGTCCTCCAAGACTAACAGTGACGCGTGATGTGAGGCTTGGCAGCTGACTCTAGATAGAGCCTCTGAGTGGCTCAGGTGGCTGGCTTCCTGTCCTCATGTCCCAGGAGTGGCTGACCTCAAGGACAGTGTGCAGAGATTTCAATGAGGACTTGGCAGGCGTGGGTCTCCAGCACGGTGCTCCACCCAGAGCGGAAGCGGAGGTCCCCTTTGAAAGCCTCGGGACACCACAGCTCTGAGCGAGGTCACTCAGCAGTAAACAGCTGCAGTAGCTCTTAGATAACTTAGAAAACAGACCGCTCGCTCTCGGAGGGGAAGAATTTCCTGCAGACATTTCTCCCTTGAGGGCTTCCCGCCCACCTCAGAAGCTGCACCCAAATCCTGAGGATCTGGCGAGAACCATGTTTTTGAGATGTAATTAATACAACTGTTTACACACAGCATCTGCTGGGGCAGAGATGGTGGTTGTGTGCAAGCCACAGCTGTGACTGGAGCAATCTGATGACAGTGAGTGAGCTCATGGTGTCCCCAAGGAGGCCTTTGTGAAGTACTTGACATAATTAAAATTGGGAGGAAAATTAGGCCAGATGACCCGGAGTGGCTTAGGTGAAAGGCCTTCAGAGCTCCCAGCTCTGCGAGTTCCCTGGGCACCGTCAGGCACTGTCCTAGGAAGTGCACTGACACGTAATGCCACGCCGTCTCCACTGAGGAGCAATGCCTCAGACATGCTGAGAGATGCTGCTTTCCATTCAGAGTGGCTACCGCTGATGTCTCTGACAAAACTGGCAGTCTGCTGGCTGGGTCTCTTAAAACATTTTTTTAAAGGATTGAAACCGTAAGATGCAGGTGCCCCCTTGTATTATCTGTAAACTCCAGCACATTTGATGCATTTCAACTGGTCTCCAAGGTTTTAAATACAACTCATTAGCTTATCCTTTTCCACTAAAAAGTTTCCACTTATAATGTTGAGAATTGGACTCCTTTGTCTTTTTTTTTTTTTTTAATTGCACATCTGTTTATAGAGGTTGGCAAAAGACACTGGAAGTGATTGTGAAATTCACATCGTGATTCCTCAGAAATCAGATCCTGGGAGGGAATGCCTAGAGCTGTGGTCAGGAGGACACCCTCCCTACCGTCTCAGGAGTCTGCCCGTGCAGCTCCCCGCCAGGCAAGATGCCCTCAAGGCGGAGTCCCAGGTGGACACAGCTGGGTGCCACTCTGATGATGGCTGCTCTGGTGGTGGACCCCGCGGTGTCTCCACTACGGCTCTCAAGGCTGCAAAGTGCTACTCTTTTCCGGCCAGCTGAAGAAATACCCCCTCCATCTGGGATTGCATGTCCTGCTTAGCGATTTCAAGCAAGTATTTCACCTTTTCATAGGCAAGGACATTGTACTCATCAGGGCTTGCACCATCACTCTGATTTCCAATGCAGACAGCCAAATGGCGGCTTTTAATTCTTCAAAGAAAGTGGCATTGAAAAGAAAAACTCACCCATCTCATGGTCTAAAACAAAGCAAAACAAGTCAGATGGCTCTGCCTAACCCCACACAGCATCTGTTACGTAATCTGAAATTTCTGTGTAATTGAGTGAGATGTGGTTTCTTTGTAGCATTCTGGGCATGGAATCCTGATCTGCTAATTCCAGAGACTGAACCAACAGAGGAACACAGAGAAAGCTACCCTGATGTGTGAGAAGGCCAGGTAAGAATGAGCACACAGAGGGGTGTTTTGGAAATTGATTTTCATCTCCTGAGACTCTGGGAAAGGAGTGAGAAAGTAGAGGGAAAACATGGACATTTATGAAGAGCTGGCAGAAACCAGGTTCTCATCACTTTCCAGGGCCACTCGGGAGAGGCCACCTGAGGCTCCCGTCTGACTCCCCCACTGGGAGTCAGAATCAAATCACTTAATTATCTCACGGACAACACTGGACACCTTTTATGGTTTAACTGGTTCACATACTATTTCAACTACTTTGCTGAATCTTTTCAGCAGGTGGAGGAAACTGACACCTTGAATCGCAAAGGCTGGCAGTGTGCAGGGCCAGCTTTGCCTGTTCTTGCTATTTGTTTGCTGACAAGACAAATTAATTATTTTGCTTTTATATTGCTAGAGGAACATGTTCTTTGATGCAAAATTAGGATTATAGGTAAGCAAACAGAAAAAACACTTAACAATATGCATACAGTACTTGTATTTTTCAGGATTCTTTTTATATATACATAGTAATTTACATAGCTATATTTATTTACAAAAGTGAGATTTTACTGCATATCATTTTTAACACCTGAGATTTTTTGTTTTCATTTAACAACATAAAGTTTTGTAAAGCAAATATTTATCCAAAAATACTTTTTACTGACTGAAGACTATTTCACCCTATGGAGTTGCCATCCAGTCCCGTATCTGAGCAGTCCCTGACTGTGGGAAGGCCACCCTCAGGGGAGAATAGCTCTCCCCAGCTCCTGCCCC